CTCCTCTGTCTGTTGTTGAGAGAGATTTGGAAAACTAGCACATTTTTGAGCCAAAAAACAGGATCATATTAATATACTTAAGTTTTTTGATCTGTCATATGGTTAAAGGTATAAACACCAGATATTTCCCAAAGCTAGCAGAATCAATATCAGATGCAGATCAAAAGATAGTGCATGCTGATTTGGTTCTTTGTTTACCAATTTGCAGTAGCCAAATAATAAGCGCACCTTCGTTTTGCCACTACCTAAGAGCTGAAGCTGCAAGAAAATCATTTTGTCAAGGACCTCGCTGACCGCGCGAAGAGTACTATGCTTTTAACAGTAATTCCCATCCGAAATCTAAACGTATTTCTTGTTGAATACGATTTTTCTTGTAAACTTTTCTTGCAATTACTTTGCCTAGTTGTTAAGATTGTAATTAGGATATCACAATTTATTACCAAACTAGACAGGGGCCCTTGTTGATAAACAGTACATTCAGACATAAGGCGATTTACTCATAAGTATGTGTATATCTTATTATTTATTTATTAGCTTTCACCTAGTTGAAGAGCAGAGAAAGAAAATATTTACTCTTTCTGTCTTACACAGGTCAGAAGGAGTAGACAAGTTCAAAAAACTCCTTAAATGAAAAGCAACCTGGGGCTTACCCGATGATCTCAAACTGTTCTCACTTTGGTTTTGGTTTAGTTAATGTTATTACACACTCTAGATTCTTAAGTAATGTTATTGACCTAGCTGAATCACATTTTCTGGGATTCTGTTTTTTACAAAAATAAATAGTAAAGACCAAAATAACCAAATTTTACGAAGAGATATCATACCACATCCATGGGCCTGCCGACAAAGGTTGAAAAGTGGGGGGGGGGAGCCAAGAGAAAATTTAACACCCATAACAAAAGATTTTGAAAAAAAACTCTATTGTTTTGTGAAGCCCCCCCCTGCCCCCCCCCCTTTCATTGTAGGCCCTTACATTGCACTTAGGTCTGAAAACTGTGCTCTTTTTGTTCATTTCAAAATAATTGGCATCAGAAATTTTTGTTAAATCGGTTACCACAATTATCCAACTGCTATATTTTAGCCATAAAGAAATAATTAATAGAGAGTGTGGGAAAATAACCGACCCGAGCAAGGCTCGAACTCACGACCCCTGACTTTGTACGTCAAGTGCTCTACTGCTGAGCTATCGAGTCATGCTTTCAAGCCAACACCCAAGACCGAGTCATTCACCCACACTGCCCCTCTCTTTTACCAGATACACAGGGGAGCCATCGCAGCTCCATCACAAAGTGCAGAGGACCTGAAAAATTAGAGAAGACTGCCCACACCAGGAGGGCCATCGCAGCCCCAATACTGGATGGGGTTGCAGATCCATTGGAAATGTATGGAGTTTGTTATTGGAAGTAGCAAATATGGAAAATTCGTTATAATCGAAGTATTGCAGATCCATTGGAAATGTATGGAGTTTGTTATTGGAAGTAGCAAATATGGAAAATTCTTGATAATCGAAGTATTGCAGATCCTTTACAGACAACAGGATTTCGAAGATAATTAATAGAGAGTGCGGGAAAATAACCGACCCGAGCGAGGCTCGAACTCACGACCCCTGACTTTGTACGTCAAGTGCTCTACCGCTGAGCTATCGGGTCGTGCTTTCAAGCCAACACCCACGGCCGAGTCATTCACCCGCACTGCCCCTCTCTTTTACCAGATACACAGGGGAGCCATCGCAGCTCCATCACAAAGTGCAGAGAACCTGAAGAGTGAGAGAGGACTGCCCACACCAGGAGGGCCATCGCAGCCCAAACACTGGATAGGGTTGAAGAGAAGTTTAAAGACAACAGGATTTTTGAAGATAATTAATTATCTTCAAAAATCTTGTTGTCTCTAAACCATAAAGAAATGTTTTAGAGATTAGAAGCTAAGTCTCTTAGCTAAAACTTTAGTTTAAGCATGATTTTTTGCTGTGGGAGAAGTTTGACCTTAATTTCTTTTATAATATTGCTCTATCAATATTTGCTGTGCAGTGCAAAAATAATTGTTCCCAAACCTGAGAAAACGTTCTACTAGTTGTGATGCAACGTTTTCATAAAAAAGACTTCAAACAAACTCATGGGATATGCATCTTCATGGAAATTGATGATGCATCTGCTATAAGCTGTTTGGTGTTTAAAATGACGATTAGATACGATGTGTTACAATGAATGAAGAACTGTGCAAATTGTCATAATTAATCATAACAAGCAGTTTTCTTACCAGAAATTGGGAACTTCAATCTCAGGGCGGCCATTTTTGAGGTATTTTATAACTTTACCTCTTTCCGTTGAAGCCTCTTTCTGAGGCTCTGGCAAAATGGCGAATATCATGAGGGCCAAGAAGTTTATAATTTGTGCCAATAATCTAATTTCAACATCGTCATTTCTTTGGCCGGGAAAGTATTTTTGTGGTAGAAAAATTCTTGCATCAGTGTTCTTGCGGCTTTATTCAGGTAAATTATTGCTATTTCCCTTTTTTTGCTTTTTTATTCACAATAGTAGCACTTTCTCTCCTCTCTCTCTGTTGCCCTGAAACTACCCTATTTTCATCAGCATCCAGGCAACTGCCAACCCTTTCGGAACGGACAACGGCACCAAAGGTTGTAGACCAGGCTAGAAAGTGCAGGGTTTTTTGACAAGATCTTGGTACATCAGATGCTTTCAAGAAAAGTTTGGCAACGGAACATTGATCGGGTTTTCTTCAAATCAAGTTCAAGCAGAAACTACAAACTATATTTGAAATGGAATAAGCTTCAAGGAACTGAGCTTAATGATAAATTTGAGAATTTACCAAAAAAATATCAAGCTAAACAAAGAGTGTGTTCAGGAGCTCAGGCCCAACCATTTAGACTTAAAGTTCGCCAGACTGTAAAGTAGTTTTTCTGCGCAGGGAACAACAGAGTAATAATTTTGAAATTTGCGGATAATGAATGTTTCCTGCGAAATCTTGCGCGGAATTTAAAGCAAAGGATTTTGAAGAGGCCTTGTACAGTTTGTTGTTTCTTGTTATCAGAAATCAAAAGTGGAATATTCGCAGGGAACATGACCATATAAACAAATATTGTACACGGAATCAACAGCAGATTCTTAACAGCACCCGGGCAGAATTAAGAATCAAAATTATTGCGTGGGGAATGCGTTCTCTACTCATATGAAACTTTTCAGTCTGGGCACCCTGTGTTAGTAAAGTTACCTGACAGGCATATACCTGACATATATATGAATTTTATTGCCTATTCTGGACGCCTATATAAGTCAGGTAACATTAGTAACCCTGCTCACATAAAGTACACTTTTTTAAAAGTACAAAAAAAGTCCAGGCCTAGTGCCCCAAATAGCCTAGTGTTCCAAACTGCAAAAACAGTCCATTCCCAAATAGCCCCAGGTGACTAGCCTCTATGTTTGCTATTCATGCAGCACAGGAATAAGAATATCACAGAAGGGAACAATTTTTACTTTGCTTATAAGAATGAGTTTATTCTTGCCAAGGGGAGAATAAACTGGGAGAGGAATGATGATCCCTTCCTATTCAATGCTTTAATGTAGTAAAGATTATGATAATAAAAAGACAATTTCTGAAGAATTTATACTAGCTTTTATTCTTTGTTTGGATTTGATATTCAGACTGCTTATGATTATCTAATTGCAGATCATCCACAAGAGGTTTGCAATGGTGCTAACATCTATAAAGAGGGCCAGGACCCAGCCTTAAAGCCAGATTCAGACTATCCCGAATGGTTGTGGAAATTAGATACAGAAAAAATAAATTTAGAAGATCTCTCAATGGATGACAAGAGATATTGGCGAAAACTAAGGAAAGCCAAAATAAAACAGCATAATGCACTTAGAAAACAAGGAAAATTAATTTAGGCATGTTTTCTATGTTTACCAGCAACTTTTTGAGTGACAGATTTTCACTTTAAGATGATGTCCCTGCTAATGTCCAAAGGCAAGTGATGAAGAATTATTGACTCTGCTTGTTATCTAAATCAATTCTTAGTCATTCTAGTTTACAATAAAAAGTCCTTTGTCAGCAGCAATTTATGAATTCGTGTAGGATGCTACATACTTTTTTAATCATCTATACTTCTGCTTGAATTGTTTCCAGTAGATTTAGCATCCTATTGTAACAAATTCTGTAGATGCCCACACATCCTCTGAAGGTAGCATGCCCATCTGTGCCACATTTTAATGCAAGAAGGCCAAGCATTGTATTACAATTATTATTATCAATAGAATCAATAAATTCTGGCTATCAATAGTGTTTTTAAAGAAGGCTTCTGCAATATAAGTGTATAAAGTCCATTGGACCTGAACAGTAATAATAGAGGGACAGGGAGCCTTTGTCTGCATTCGCAAATGCAAAATTCCCATCTAATTATGTTTACGTTGCCTTCATGTACTATAACTGCAGGCTGCAACAAACTCGGCATTTTTTTGCATAGAATTGATCTGATGTTCTGATTTGTTAGCAATCTTATTTTTACTACCAGTTTTTCAGTTAATGCCTTTAGAGCCCTTTTATTACAATTTTAGAGAGTTTTCCTGCTAGAACCTCAATGTCTATGTACCGTATTTCCTCTAAAAAACATGGCAGTGTTTATTACAAAATCCAATTTTGAATGCAGCGTTAAATAGAGGGGGGCTTCTATCAGAAGGCTGCATTTAATGCATAATGAAAAGTTTGTCAAATGAAAAATGACATAAAAATTGCAATGAAAAACAATAAAAACGGACTTTAAACAATGTTTTCTTTTTCCCAAAAACACTTGATAAAGATTTTGTGAAAATTTTTCAATGTTCACATAACAGAAATGTCAATGAATGTCAATACCCCTGTCTCTGTCAGAGTTCAGTCCTCGTCTCTATGACATAACAACTTTCATGGCTTTCCAACAGTAAGTGTATGAACTATTTGTTACTTCTTGTTTGGTGTATTTTCTAATGAACGCTGCTTTTCAAGATGCGGCGTTAAAAGAGGGTGGCATTTATCAGAGGGCGGCGTTCTTTAACAAATGGTTGGCTGGAGGTGCGGCGTGAATGGCTTCCTTGACATGATTCACCAATGAGCAAGCCAGCCGTTGTCTTTTCAACAGCATCTTGTACTAAATAAGCATGGCCAGATTCATTTCTGCTGACAATCTTGCCACTGAGATTTTCACTTAAACCTTGCCAATTCTTGTTAAAATGTTAAAATGAGTATCAAAAGTGAATTCTACAATAAATTTTGCGTAAGAAAGATAAGAAAAAATGGGATATTTAATCAAAATCCAAAATTTCAATGTATACATCTACCTTAACAGTAGGCGTTGTAGCGTGATTATGATAATATTATGTCTATTTTGTATTCCAACAAATAAGAAATTCAAATGGACAGCGAAATGCATCGGGACATAGTGCCTTGAAATTGGTTGGAAGAAATCAGTTCAGTAGCGGTTTTTCAGAAAATTTCAGGAGGGGCAACAGTGTGAAATTTGCCGACTGTTACATGGTAAATGGTGTGGCTCATGGTAAATGATGTGGCTCAAATTAGCTTTGGACCGTTTCCAAAATGTGATGTGAGGACTTTTCTGGTCCAGCAAAGCTAAACCTTCCTCAAGCTAAATCTTCCTCAAATTTGATGTAAACTTAAAATGAACTCAAAATGAACTTTCTTTGAGAATTTTGAAGCCGTCTTAATACATGATATTCAATTTCAAATTTCCAAAACTGGATTGTAACCTGTTTCAAAACAATTTTTCTGAGAATATCTTTATTTGCAAAATCATTAAGCGGGTTGTCATACGATACAACATGCAGGGTTCATAATCAGCGAAACGAAACGAAACGAAACGAAATACTGCGAAATATAAAAAATAATAACAACAAAGAACGCCAAAGGTCTCAAACCATATCATAATATTATAATAAGCCCAACGGAATCACTAAAAGCCCCTTTACATTAAGGCCAATATTACAAATACTTGATGAGATGTTTGCAAAAGAGTCTATTTTTGCAAAGAGTTATAAACCTCAAACGTTCCACGAGACAAACTTTGTTTTTATTTTTTTTTGCCCCAATTTTGTTTTCAATTGAGAGAAGCTATAGCCCCTTGAGTTGTTGCTGACCAATCTTGTTCGTCTTTAGTTTTGACAAAGACCCCTCAGCACTGGCTGTTTTTGCAAACATATTTGATAGACTCTATACCACAGATTTGGGCCTTACACAATCCGGTTTCATGCATTCCCTTTTCTCATTGTTTTTGGAAGCTTTCTAAAAACTAGACCGAGTTAAGGCATTTTGCGTTAAAATTTGGGTTCTCTGACAATATATATGACCTATCCTGCATATCGATTCTACTTTGCTTTATGTGAAAAGGGGTGCTGCTGGAAACAAAACCCAAATGATTGAAGTATTAATTTTAGAAATTTGTTTGAAAATTGCAAAAAAGCAAATACTAAGAATTACCGAATGGATATTTGGACTCCAGGGGGAACAACTACCACCCTCCCCCTAACAACCGCCACTGAATCAGTTATATGACAGCTTTGGCATTTACAACCCATTTCTTGACTTAACAGTACTTTGCAATTGCATCCTTGAAAAGTATTGAAAAGCAAAACCTTCCATTTGATTTTGCTCCCGTCGTTTACTTCCTTGCTAGAGCCCAACCTCTAAGCATCTTCCTATTCAGAAGAGTATCTTAGTTGGGTCCAAAACATTTTGACCTAAAACTTTACTTTGTCCCAGGCAAACATATCACTGATTGTGGAAAATTGTGTTAAAAGGTAATTGGGGAAATTCAGTCTATCATTATCCCAAGGCTACTCAACCAAGTTTTCATCATCCTTCCTAGGTTGAACTTTCGTGGAAAAGCCCATAAATTTTTCATTTGCTTTTTAAAACTAAGGGCCCGGTTGTTGATTGCCACTTTTCCACGACCAATTTTTTATTGGGTATAAGACAAACTTTGGTTATTCAGATCGAGTATGAAATATCATCATCAGAATTGTCAATTGAATCAGGATTTTCACATGATGTCCATGATGATGATCCAAAGTTCGAGCCTGTTTCAGCGGAGGCTTCTTTCTATTTTCCATTCATTTTCTTGGAAACAGGCTATCAATGGCCTTGAGTTATTTCTAACTTTTATCTTCTGCCTTGACATGCTCAAGTTAAGGTATTTCTTTCTCCGTCAGCAACTTTTAATTATACTTCTTTTTGAAAATGGCAGGTAAACACTGATCGCGTACAATTTTTCACAAGTATACTATAAATGTTTTCTAGCTTGAATATTCTTAAGGAATTTTCTTCTTGAGACTGAATACACTCTTAAAGAATTCATATTTTCCTCAAATTTGATAGTGTTTTAGAGGAACAGAGATGGGACAGTTCTGCAATTCTTTTTTATGAACATTGCACAATCAAGCTACAAATTTTCGAGCTGATGCTAAGTGATATTCTTATTATTTTATTCTTAAAAGTTGGATGATTCTGAACATGAATACTCTTATAAACAATATACAATATTCTTATAAAAAGAGTGCAGAGAAATGACTACAATGCATACTCTTTTGTGGTACAAAATTTAAAAATAGCTTTAAAGAACACAGCATTTTGAATCATAGTAAAGCTTTTCGTCTGACAATCTTTTGGGTTAGACAAAACGTCAGAACAGAGATCGAAAACTCACTGCTAGGAAAAATATGCCAATCAGGAACGCGAGCACATGACTTTTGATGTTGCCCAAACAGTGGTGCTTGGCAATTGAGAATACTTGTAAGTGGGTGTAGAAGGGGTTTTGACTAGGTGTATAACAGGCTGTTTTCAGTGACCAATTTTGTGTAAAACCCTATGACGGGCTATATTATGTTGCAATTCAATTAAGAACTCATAAAAAATTTTCTTTTTGCTTATGATTATGAAACTATGAAAATCAATGTTGAAACCAGGAGTTTTTGTACTAAAAAGAAATTTTGACTAATTGGAGCCAAAAATCTTGGCTAGTGACTATCACTTGGGGCTTATCGCCTGACTAATGACTAACAGTATCCCCCCTTCTACACCCTCCTGTAAGCACAATCAGAACATTTCTGTACGTCTAGATTCTGGATCAGGGTTAAAGTGTTTTAGCTTGAGATTATATTGACATACATAAATTTTTTTAAGTGACTACAATTAAAATAGTCGTTAATATGTGTTGTTTGTGTTTATGTCCCGGAGGGGGGGGGGGTGGTACTCCCATTAAGGCCCGACAGGGGGTCCAGTCCGTTTGAGGGTCTTACCAAATGGCTACCAAATGGCCCATTTTCGATAATAACTGAACTGCTCAGTTTAGCTTGCGATTTGTTATAGATAATGAACAAGGTTTATCTTTCCCGAAACAACAACAATCAATTCTGAAGTAATTTGTCAAAAAAGGACCAGAAGAGAACAAAGAAATGGATGCTACCAAGGAAATAATATTGGTTTTTATGCTACCGTTTGAGTGGTTTTGTCAAAAAGTACTAGTACTACCATTTGAGAGTAATTTTCTAAGCTTTCCATTACTTTAAAGGCAAGGGCATGAACATCTGTCTCTATTTATGCTTATCGCAGAGGTGGTACTGTTTTGTCAAAAAATTCGTCGAACTGAAATTACTTGAACGCAAGTTTGAAATATTCTTCAAGTGCACATGTTGCGTCCAGTGGTTGCGTCATCAAAATGGAAGCAACTCCGTCTCGTTTTCAGAACACCTCCCTTTCACGTGTTCGCCATCTTGTTGATGGAAACAAAAAAATCACACACATTCGAGAAATGATTTAAATTGGCGTTCAGCTCTTGAGGAGAAGATAAAGCAGACATAAATCAAAAGAAGGATCATCGAGTCCTCTAAAAATCTAACTGATTGGGTCATTGATTCTGTAAAACCTCGATATCTCTTATTATTCTTTTGCCTACTTGGTTTTAGGCCATATTTCATCAACACAAAGTTATAATAGGAGAGCAAATTAAAAATTAACAAACATGGTAAGTAAAGATTTTGATGCGTACATTTTATTTCGATCGTATTTAAGAAGTGAGAGATGCTAGATAGAATGAAGCAGCGTGATTTGGAAGGAAACAGAATAAGCAATTTGCCAAAAGTATCCAGACTGCAGAATATGGCAAGTGCACACAGGAGATGATAGGGTCACGTCTCGCCCTGATCGGGGATAGTAACGTTACCTGACATATACAGGCTTTTCTTATATATACCGAGGGGCAAATCACTCTTGAAAATGGCGTACGAGATTAATAATCAATAGTGATTGATTTGCGAATAAATCAATTTTGTGTGTGATTAATTTGATTTTTATTGATTAAAGTGATTATTATTTGATCAATTTGTGATTAATTTGTGATTATTTAGGGATTGAATCATAGATTCCAAAATGCTCTCAAATAATTTCATGCGCAATAAGCGTTGTTTGAACGTATGACGGTAAACTAATTCATAAGCTAAATTAAACAACAATATTTATTTCTTAAATTAAATGCCAACTTATCATGCCAGTTTAGCAACAATTTTGAAACATTCTTGATGAAATTGAAAAAGAAAAGTTAGAAGTTCAGCACAGGGGCAGATCCAGAAAATATTTGCAAAAGAAAAAAGGTGCAAAAGTTTTATAATCATTGACAACTTAAAACAAAGTTATCTTTCTGAACAGCAGCATAAGCGGAATATTAAATCAATGTGATAGATTTTCTTCTTCATGGATGCAGGGGTGACAATAGCCTGACGTGAAAAACAGTGAAAAGTTGTGGAACACCTTGTAAAAGACATCAAGTCAAATACAGTGCTCTGTTCCCTACCCATCGCAAGTAATACCGCTATTGGAAAATGAAACTGTCATTCCTGAAACTGTTATGGATAGAAAAAATTATGGAACTCGATTATCAAGCCTTATTTGGGGAAAATACAAAAATATGACATAAATCCTTTTCCATAAATGTAACAGTTGCAACTGCAACAGCCTTAGCTGTCTGGATCCGCCCGTGCAGCAACCAATGAGAAATTAGTGAGAAATGACTGCTATCAGGCGATTAAAGTGTGATTATTTTCAAGAGCGTACGTGATTTTAAGCAGCGATTTGTCCCTCAATATATATGGGCGACTAAAATGGGCAATGAAATTCATTGAGTATTCACCTCAACTTTTCCAAAACTGAATTTTATTCCATTTTATGATGATTTTCCATGTACTATTGTCATAAGGAAGTGTTATCACCATCAACTGGTCGACCTACACATTAGGATAAGAAGGCCTGTAAAATCAAAACACAGTTATCCCATTAATGGAGTATTTATCGATTTAGGAGAATGAATCAAGTTCAAATCTCAATCACTTTTTTGCTAAACACCATTTAATTTTTGACGAACACCCAAAACATTAGGCCCTTCTGCAGCAATTGTGAAAACGGGCAAAACCCAAATTGATAAACACTACTTATATGAAGGGTATTCCCTAACATGCCAAGCTTTCCACTTGAATAGTAATAGTGCTGCAGTGAATCCTACATATGCAGGCTTTTCATTTCAGGGCCAAATAACAATAAAAACTAAGTAGTAACGGTTTAATAGGTCAAATTGTGGCTGTGCAGGAATAATGAACTATTAAAAAAAATGGAATTGTACAATCTCACTGATCTTTATCTTTATAATCTTGATTCTTGGTTTACGCTGCCTTAGGCCATCAACACAATGAAAACAAATCTGCTGAGTTTTTGTGCGTCTTTTCTCCAGCGAAATTAAAACTAACTAACTAAAAATCTATTACAACGGCACTGTAGTGAATCTTACATATACTGGTTTTTTATTAAAAAAGGGCCAAATAACAAGAGAAATTGGGTAGTAACAGCACTGCAGTGAATCTTTCATACACCTGCTTTTCATTTCAAGGCCAAATAGCAGGAAAAAATGGGTAGTAACGGGCTTTTCATTTTCAAGAAAAATTAAGTAAAGTTAAGATTCAGCAAAATAGAACATTTTTAATTTGTGTCTCTAGGTATACTCAATCAGGGCGACATGACCCTATATCTCTAAATTTACCTGCACAGCTGATAAAAGGTGTGAAATTTTGAGATCTAGGCCTGACATGGGTGCTTCCGATTGCTTAAGGTAAATGAACAATTAAGTTTTATCGAGATTAACATAATCTTGCATTGGTTTGATAACAGATTAACTATCACTCATGTACACTTGCTTTTTTTGTTCATTTTCGCTTCTTAATTGATATCCTTGGGCTCTAGAATAGTTTTGTGTGCTAATATGCACACGTTTACCAAAGTGCACACTTGAACAAGTGATATTTTGCTCTTGCACACCCAAGATTCTGTTGGAAACAGCCATACTCTGCAGTCGAGAAAAGTATCAAACATTGACAACTCAAAGGGAGCCTTGAGGTCATCTTCTAACTCAGTGGATTTGAATGAATCATTTAAAACTTTGCAATTTCATGGCAAATATGGTTGTGTCAAATATCTAGGATTTACAATGGAAATAAACTTTAAATATTGGCCAGGTTGTAGAATGTGCATACTATCATATGTATGACTTAGTTGATTTTGTGGGTCATGTTCAGGTGCATGAAAACCCAGCATAGCTGTGAGTGTATACAAGTTTTTAATTCAGGAATATTGGAAATAACTTATCCAAAAAGTGTCTCTTAAAAATTCCCCACAAATTATAAGTATTGTATCTCAATATACTAATCAACAGCCATAGTGCATTTATTTTATCATTAATCATTTGAATTATCATGAAACAAAATATACCCCTATTTCAAAAATCATTTTTTGAGCGCTGAATGCAAAATGTTTCTTAATAAAACCCATTTTGTATTCAAAATTCCTTCATGTGGTGCAGTTTTATGTTATTTACTCGCTGTTAACCTGTTATTCCCTATTTTTTTTGTTATTTATTCATAAAGCAAAATCTGTCAGCTGTTGTGTTTAACAATGTATAACATAATTTTTAACTACCAATAAGAACTGTTAGCCTTGTCACTAAGAAATATGATAGTTCTTTCAATGTGTTCTATGAAATCATTAAGAAAATGTAGATTCCTTAACATTGTTTCTTATTAAATTTGCCATGCTTAGATTTGTCTGTAGGGCTGGTGCTGGAAGTAGATGCTTTTTTATGATATATACGTATATAAATATATAATCATAATGTAGGTAATCATAGGCAAAGGCTGAAAGGAGGAAAATCTTTCCACAAGGGTGCTACCCAATTGTATCAACCCACTCTTGGTCAGAATCGAACTCCAGTTTGCTGCTTCAAAAACCCACACTCATTCCACTGAGCCAAACAGTCCAAATACACATATATTTATCTTTCTTTACAATTTTGATAAATTAGCTCCAAGACTAGGACATGACTCTGTACAGACATAGCCTATTCAGTTGATAGCATGGCAATGTTGGTTAAATTTAAAAGCTCTGTCTAAAACAGGATATGTAAGATTTGCTAAGATATGTTCCAGGGCATTTTGTTTTTCATAAACATACAATTTTGATAATGTTGTCCTTCCCACCACCTTATAGCCACAGAATGAGCATATTGAGCAGTCCATTAAAAGACATGGAAGACGTCTTGACTACCATGAAAAACTGTAAGTAGATAATAAAATGTTTTCCGCAACAATTTATATTTTTTTCCTATTTCACATGTCATTTGTTGCAGTTCTTGTTCATTTGTACAAACCATCTTGTGTACCAGTCGTGAAATGTTACTGACCACATTTTGAATCTCTGCGCTTCAATTTCAAGTGCAAACTGTGAATAAAGGGATTGCAATTAAACCAGTAGAAAAGACAATTAAAACAATCAAAAAATTTATTGAACACTAAAAATTAACCTGATTTAAATGGAGCAAAGATAGATTTTTCTTTGTAATTCAAGAAAAGTATTTGGTCCTGAAATGTCATGAGAGCTCATCCATTCAAGTGAACTGATGACATTTTTTATCTAACTGGCAAAACTTGGTTGTCCTTTCATCCAACAGTTTGGGACCCATATAAGAATGAAAAACCACTATTATCTTCACATTGGACTTCAGTGGTAATTTTTCTAGAGGCACATGGTACTTTTCGGGTAACTATGGTGGTCATGTGCTTGCATTTTTCTGATTGGCCTATTTCAATCCAAAATTGACTATATAATTTCCAGTTTGATCTTTTCGACCCTGAATTGACATTTTATGCTTTGAGCAGTGTCAGACGAAAAGTTTTTGTATATACAAGCCATACTAGGAATAAATTTGCAGGTGTGCAGTGAATCCCATTCTGTGTCAAATCAAGGGGTGTATGGGGGTGCTATTTGTATTTTGGAGTGATGAAGTATTTTTGAACATTTATTGATAGTACAACATTTGAGTTTTTTTACAAATTTTTAAATGATTTATTTTGTACAAGGGTATACGTTTGATTAGAAAGCACAAATGTGACACAAAAATTGAGATATTCAAAATGCTATCAAAAGTACATATTCACAAAAAGACTTTTGAAAAAACAGTGGATTGATGTGAAGGTACACTATCTGTGAAGATATTTGTAAAATATTAGCTTTACTGATCACCATTTTCAAAATTTGTATCACTAAACAGAGCAGGGTGTTGAATGGAAGATTGACTATGTAAACAATTTTTTATTTTCTCAGTCGCAAGAAGCAAGGCAGAGAGCCACATGACAGAGCACTCAAAGCAAAAAAACTTCATGGTTTGAAGTAAGTAACTTAATAAAGTATTAGTATGTGGAGTTTTTTGTTATAATTCATAGGATTTTGATATTTTCAAATAAAGATAAAATTGCAGTAGAATGATATTTGTTTGCATTACAATAGATAAAAAATGTGATGGTTAGACATTAAAGTTAAGCAGCAAAAATTTTTAACCTTTGTTTGGTAAAAGCTTTGAAAGATAAACCATAATTACGTTTTGTTTATCTAGTGCTTTACTTTGGCAAACAAAATTTGAAACCCCTTGCAAAAACTCTGCAGCCACTTGACTAGCATCCACTAATGCAAATGTGCTTTGTCACTGTATCCTATATTTTCCTGCCTTCTAGATACCCTTTGTGCACCCTCCACACTCTTTTTTGATCCTTATTATATTTTTCATTCTGTATTTCTCTTCTCTGCTTTCTGATCTCTTTCTTTTCTTTCATTTCATTACCATGCTCCTCTTTCCCCATTTTAACATATCTTTTTTCTTTTTTTGCTCTTTTTTTCCTATTGGAGAAGAAATCTTCAATTTATCATAATTTATCATTTTGCAGCACATATTTTGCCACTTATGCTTAAACTTGTATACAACATTTTAAGATTAATAAGAATTAGGGAATTAAGAATTAGAATAAGAATTAAGAATTTGTTTTTCAATCTAAAGGGCAAAACTATACAACAAGAAGCGCCATGCAGAAAAAATACAAATGAAAAAGACATTGAAGATGCACCAAGAAAAGAAAACAAAAGCAAAAGATGCAGAGAAAGTTCCAGAAGGGGCTGTGCCTGCATATTTACTTGATAGAGAAGGACAAACAAGAGCAAAAGTACTCAGTAATATGATAAAGCAAAAACGAAAGGAAAAGGCTGTGAGTTATCAATTGGATATCTAGTTTAAATATGTAAAGATATTAATAAGATATATATAAAGCACTTTGATCCAGGCTCAGTATTTAGCTTTGAGAGAGAAGCATTGCTGTGTCATAAAGGTGGATTATGGTACAAGCATGGGCAGAAGATATTTTGAGATTCAAGAATGGTACGCTTACCATATCGCTTTCCATTTTTTAAAGTTGAAATCAAGGCAACTTTTTCCATGGAATTTGTACCGTTTGACCTCTCAACCAATCATGTTCAAGCCACTGCGTCATAACTTCAGGAACAAGCTATGCTTCAAATTGAGTCTCAGTCATTCTGAAATACTTGAAATGGTATTACCTATCATCGGTGGAAGCAGGCAGAGTTGTAGGGCACCCCTTTTAAATGCCAATAATGAAACCTTTTCTACTTTTTGCTATCCTTTTTGAGAAATTTTTCAAGAAGGCCCCTCTTCTATTTTTCATAGCAACACTTGTAATTTCATAGTTCCCTGGGTGGAACTTTCCTTTTTGCTTTTTTCTTGAAAGGTGTTTCACCCAAATGCTCTTTTCGTATTTCTTTCTCTTTTAACTTTTCAATCTTCTTGCAAAAGAAAAAGCATAATGAAATTGTTACTGTTTTCTGTGAAGTGAAGAGAAAATCCACCTTTAATTCTGGTAGGCGTATTTGAGAAAAATAATATGCAACCTCCAATTATATGTAACTATGTGCAATGGCAATCACAAGTTGGTTGAGGAACCATGTAACAGCAAAGTTGAATGGAACAGTTGCATGAAAATCGCATAAAGCATTAAAGTTGGAATTGCAACTTTGAACAATCCTGTTCTGTATATATACCAAGAAAATTACAGTTAATTTAGGTGTTTAGGAAAAGAGCTTTACTTATATTTCTTTTGATGCTTTCATTTATGGCTTTCTCAAATTCTAAATTTCAAGCACTTGCATTGCAACATGACTCCCCTGTTTCCTTAGCACCAGATTTATGGCTGTATAATTTGCATGTGTCTATCTGTGAAATGTTTGAAAGGAATTAGGCATCAAAAAGGTTTATTATTTTCTAGGGCAAATGGGATGTTCCTTTGCCAAAAGTAAGAGCAGTTGGTGAGGATGAGGTTTTCAGAGTCGTCAAGACTGGAAAAACAAGACGTAAGCATTTGCATTGTTTTTATTTATTGAGTAAATGAGCACATTCTAGATGTATATAAACAGGGCCAAATTAACCCTAAGGCAAACTAGGCCAAGGCCTAGGGCCTCGCAGTTGTTGGGGCCCGTGGTAATGAAGTCATTTTTTAATCTATAATGGAATATGACACAGAAATGGCATCATTAGTGCCAGGATGGAAAAAAATGTGCTGTGCACAGAATGTATTCTAAAAAATCCAGCAAAGTGCATAATTGTTTCAAACATTGCTCTTTCTACTTTTGGCGAAAAGCTGTTGAATCAGAACCAGACTTTAGCAATAAAATATCTCTAAATGTGAAAAAAAGATAAATCTGCTGCATATTTAAAGCAAATTGGCCATTTGAAGCTTGGTTGAAACATTTAAAGGTGATGCAGTTCACTTATTTTCAGAACTTCTACGACTTCCATGAATGGAATGTTCAAAATATATGTATAGCATAAACAAAAGCAATGTTTCCCAAAAATTGTAAAATTGATTTTTATGAAATCATTGCATTGCTATTTTTATAGGGCCCCAAAAATATTTTTGCTGTAGGGCCCTGCAGAGCTTTTATCCGACCTTGTATGTAACCAGTAGAATCCAGTAAAGTCACTAGCATGTAGCTCAATAAAGCATTGCAACAATTAATTTGTATTGCAAAGGTTCGAGATTCTCCTACTGATATTTTATTCAAGATAGTATGGGTGAGTCATCACTTTGAAGCCAGCAAATGCGTAAACCTTAAATTCCAATTTTCAAGGGTGCAAGGCAGCAGTGAAAGTCTATGTAAATGCATAATTCATTGTCTATCGATAAATGTGATTTTGTGTACAGCAATTTGAGCTGTGTTCCTGTTATCTAGTATTTATAAGAGGTTTGGTTGAGACAACAGGTATGTAATTTAATCAACTTCTTTCAAAAAAGCTCTTCAAATTCCAACCATGTAAATGATTGAAAAAAAGTTTCAAAATACAATGAAATAAAACAACACACCTTTACTAACTTGAAACTTGATACTTTTATATGAAAAACCATTGCAGTAGATGATTTGAAATATATCATAAATATGGCAAAAAAAATCCCAAAGCATTTAAACATTTTTCTATTGTCAATGGAATGATTTATGTTCACCAAAATCCAAATTGTTTATGTGCAGGTATGTTGACAAAATTAGATTTTTTCCAGAGGATGTCTTGTACTGAATTTGGTTGAAAATGTTTAATTTGGAAAGAATCAACTGACCTCTACTGTTTTCATTTATATATTTTTATATAAGCACTGATGTTCATTTGAGCTCCAATACCTTTTTTTAGTATTTCTTTGTATCAAAATCTATTGATAACAATTCGAAAATGGACATTTTCTTCTTGCAGGAAAGTGCTGGAAACGAATGGTCACTAAAGTAACATTTGTTGGGGATGCTTTTACAAGAAAACCTCCAAAATATGAGCGTTTTATCAGACCAATGGTTAGTGCTCAAAGCAAGTTTTATTTCTAATATTGCTTGATATTTTGAAAATGAATTCTTTTGTGCCAGCTGAGGCATTCATAGTGGTATACAAACAGAAGGTAGCACTAAAAAGTGGAGACATAGAAAAAAACCAGAAGGCATTGGTGATATGTGCTATTTTTATCTGCTCCAGGATGTAAATTTCTGTACACATGTTAGTTATTTTCTGATTTCAATTGAATAAATATTTTTCTGATGATTAAGCTCAATACTAGTTAATGTTGTCAGGGTTTTCTAATGATGTCCAATGAAAGCAGTTAATAAAGCTCTCTTGGAAGTAATGTTCATTATTTAGAAATTATTGTTTCTCTTGCTTAAAAAAAATTTTTGTTTTCAAGTGGCAACAAGAGGTAAAGATTAATATTAGTTATATTGCATTTTATGTAGCGCTTGGAGCTTGGCAAATTGCATACCATAAATTTTTGAATGAGTGCCCTCCCCCTTTGAAGGATCAACCACCCAGCTGAAATGAGTGCCCCCCCCCCCCTTGAATGTGTGAGATGATTCCTTTGACAGATTGAGACACAAGAGAAGAGTCCTTCTTGTCATTCTTTTGCCATCTTAGCAAGAACTATCTTTCCATTTCAAATAATTGCTTAGGTATTAATTTACCAACCAAAGATGATCAAGAGCTGAGAAAAGTATAGAGTTCATTCATTTTATTATCAATGAAAACAATTCTATGGAGGCTAAACTGACTAATCATGTTACAGAGATTTAGAAATTCAGTGTGATTCCTGTGCACTCATTAGAGGATTTATGGTACCAGTTTTAAAATTAATATCAATATATGTAACTTTTTTGTTTGTAGGGCCTCCGATTTAAAAAAGCACATGTAACTCACCCAGAGGTAATTCCTTCTGAAATTTCAATAGCAGGGAATCTATCTTTAGTCATGGTTAATTGCATTTTGTGTTTTAAAATGTCTTGCACCAATTTGAAACAAATATACAGTATAACCCCCAAGAGAACAATGAAAGCTGGAGCTAATCATTGATTTAAGTTGTTTGAGATGACGGGTTTAAGAGCGTTAAATGTAACTTCTAGCTACAGCAATTGTACAGTTCTTTGTCATAAAATCTGTAATTTCAGTAGGTTTAAGCTTTTCTTTTAAAGTTCAATACTTCTGCAAGGATTTTTGACTTTGACTTTTCACACTTTTATTTAGACTTAAGCATTGCTTGTTTCTTATGTAAAACATATTTTAAAAACATATTTAGACTATTTCAAAACATTTTATTGTAAAATTATAAAATATATTATAAAATATAGTAAAATATAATAGGAACTCTAGGTTAACAGGTCCTTGGTTGATAGCTAGCAGCAAATTATTTTGCTGAACAAATTTACCTGTACAAATCTGGCTTTATTATTATCATTATTATTTACCCCAAAGCATGATGAATTTTTGGATATTTGTTGTGAGCTACAAAGAAATTTGGTACCAAGCCCTCCTCTCTATTCAGCCTTAAATCTTTCGAGCAGTCAAGTTAAGCAAACATTTCTATAATTGTAGTATGCTGCTATTGAATTAATGCTTGGCCCCCAATGCAATTTGTAGGTTTTGAGCAACCCCCCTCTCTTTATTTTAAGCTCCCCTTTGGGTTCTTCAGTGTTAAATAAGTTCCAAAATTTATTATCAAATCGTCATGAAAGAGAGCTAAGAACTTTTCTTTGTCCTCCCTTCTCTTAATGAAACGTTTTTTGCCAAATCAAATGACTACCTTTAGAATAGCAGTATGATTGTTTGTTGCATTTACAGCACAATAATGTTTACTTCTATTTGTTAATGCAAGAGTCTCTTTTGAATAATTCTATTGAATTAAACTTGATTTTTAATTGATCTGCTAGATCTTTTACAATTATCTGTCTTGACTTCTCCAGCTTAAAGCAACATTTTGCTTATCTATTATTGGAGTGAAAAAAAATCCCCAATCACCAATGTATACAACACTTGGGGTCATAACAAAAGGAACTGTCATTGAGGCAAGTTTTTTTGTTTTTTAGAAGATTTTTATCTGTAAATGAAACCTAATTCTATATTCAAGTTGTTAGTTAATAAACAGTGTCAAATATAAAGTGAATTTACTCTAAATAAACATTTTTAGGGAAAACTGACAATTTAAATTTTTCAAGCTTACTTGTCACTTACCTTATGTGCTACTTTATAGAAAAAGAGTTTATTTCAAGCCAACATATAGCTAATCCAGTTTCCAAAAGCAACTCCACTCATTTTTCAATGCAATTTGTTACGCATAAAGTAAAGTCTCTTGAGTAAAATGTAAAATAGTAGGAGCATGAACTAGTGCTAAAAAGTATATGATAAGATATGATGTTATCCTTGGAACATAACACAACTTTATCCAGGGCAGTAGAATCACATTTGTTCTAAATGGGTTGCAAAATGGTTATGCTATATGCTTAAGGGTTATGCCAAATTAGTTATTTCAGTTATACCCGGTACTAGAAAAATGGTATATAAGTCCTTGCAAAATCAGTTTTCTAGATTGAAAAAGTGGTTCGGATTGACTTTTCGATTTTATTTTTTTGGTATTTGAACATGGCTTCCCTTGCTTTTTCTACTCTGTTATGTTTTTTGAGCTACATGTAACTTATGTTTTTCTAACTAGGTAAACGTCAGTGAGCTTGGGTTGGTAACTCAAGGTGGAAAAGTTGTCTGGGGTAAGATATCATTAAATACACCAATAGCTTAATTGTACCAGTTAAAAACTGTGCATTAAAAGCAAAATTATAGGCAAAAGTGTTTTAGACCAAGTTTTCTCAACTTTGGCTATAACAAATGGATCAATCTTTGGTTTCAGCAATTAAAATTTTTCTGCAAGAAGGGCTGTGTTTGAAATTATCTGTTAACAGTCCAATTTTTTACTTTGAAATTTACTTTTTAAAAATTGTTGAAGTTCCTTGAAAACCCCATTAGTTGTAATATATTCTTTCCTTCTTTTTTACCATAGGAAAGTATGCACAAGTAACGAACAATCCTGAAAATGATGGTTGCATAAATGCAGTGCTTCTTGTATAAGCAATATCATTCTGTATATATTCTTTATAAAAATTGGATGTGTCAAAAGTTATGTTCGTTTTAAAGGGAATGTTGTCTTCTGAAAAGTCTTTATATTTAAACACAACATCTCGCGAGGCCCAGTTCTTTCTGTTAGTCCAGCAATAATTTTTTCTGTTTTTTGCCTGCCTGTGGCAAATTTCCAACTCACAGAAGTGCAATAGAATGCAGTTAAAGAAAATAGAATTTGAATTGTTTCAATAAAATTATACAATAAAAACAGCTTGAAAAAAAGACAAACATCTTCTGGTCGGTTGTAAATTACAAACAAATTTATTGCAGGAAGACATTCTCTTAGATTTAACTTTGTTATGTTCCTTCTTCTGCAACTGATGTGGATTTCTATGTGATTAATCAGATTCTCCTTTGCTTAGGGGGTTTACATCCATTATGTGGCACTGGCGTAACATCTGTAATTGACACAATATTGATCCCTCCAGCTATCAGGCCTTTGATTGATGACTGGTATGAAAATAAAGAAACAAGATGAATGCCAGTGTTCCTTAAAAGCTAAACATGATAAAAAATTTTGCCATAGCAAAGCTTGGTATAATGTTCAATAGCAAAATCACAAGTAGGAAACTTAAACCTCAGTGAAAATAAACAGCTCAAAAATGGTTCAATTTGAGACGTTTCCACTTTGAAATGGAATAAGCAACATGTAGCGAGTCTTTAAGAATTTTTGTGTGGTTGTAAAAGGTGTTCCTATGAAGTGTTTCCAACACATTTTCTGGTGCCAACCAGGTTTTGCTTATTAAAGGGGGCTACTGTGAAGCAGCCACTGCCTTTTCATGTCACATTAATTACTACACTTAAAAATAAATAGGGTTTTTGAAAACTGTTTATAAGATTTAAAACTAAAGGCAATACATACCTGCCTTGCTGGACCCATGCCTTTGATTTTAACACGACATGTTTCTACACCAAGTGTTCTTGCTTTCTGAATAAAATTGAAATACTTTGTTATTTTTTGAATTGGTACTGTAAATCTAATTTAAAGGCAGCCTAGACTACTTTGACAACAATAAAAATTTCTTTCAAGCATGCTGATATTTAATTTGAGGCCAGAAAACAGGAAAGAACGACAGTTGAATTTTTTGAAACTATGGGATACAAAAGGATACAATAGAAAACCTTATTATCCCTTTTTTTGTTTACTGGTTTCAATATTTCAGAATGAGGCTTGATGCTCTTAGGAATCTATTTACTAAAAAGTTAAGGACATCAACACTGGTGCCAACCAGGGATGTTTCACTTCATAGGTGAATTACTAACTTTATTTGAATAAGCATATAATATTTTTGAAAAGAAAGAAAGTTTATAGACATAAACTGGCTGTTATACTAGACCTTGGCAGCTGCAGTTGCAGCCATTTGTCCTGCATAGTTTGTACCACGTTTGGCACCTTTGAACCCTTCAACTCCCTACAAAATAACAGAACTTGTTCAACTAAGAAATCTATAAAGAGCATGAAGACTCAATAAATATATGAGCCTGTTCAGGAATACCCATCTTTAGTGGATGGTGGTTAATGCAATAAAATTGCATTCAATAAAAGCACTTGCAAAATAACAAGTGAGATAAAAAAGTTCATAAACACAGTCCTTTTGAGGCTTGATAAAGATAAATAATATAGCAGATTTCACAAATTTGTACAGCATACTAGGTTTTATTTGTCATACCTAGATTGTACCTCACATTATTTCTGTCACTGATCAGTATCAGTAACTTTTTGGATGGTCTTCCATGAAAAGAAATTTCAATCAAAGCAGCTCAGCAATAGAATTTAATTGGATAAAAATCCCTTAAGCATCCTTTAAGGTTTTTTCATATCTGATTAATAAGTATTTGGATTAGGTTTGTAAGTCGAACATTTTAATGTCTATTTAGATGAAATTTAAAGACTGAGATATATTAAAGAAAATCATACGCACTGCTGATGTCCAAGCAACCACCAACCCTGCACAAAGATAAAAATAACTTTAATAAATACAAAATGACAAATAACTAACTGTTTATCAAAATAATATCATGATTAACCAACTTGGTTCCAAAAGAATCAACGACCACATGATCAATATCCTTTTATATACCAGCATGTCAACTTTATCTTTACATTGCTTGCAATTAAACTCTAAATGGATCTGTTTTAACATATTGTGTTTTTTCAAAGAAGCTAAAACTATATCTTTATTAAAAGATCTAATGTCATTAAACCAGCTTAAAAACTTGTTCTTGTCTTTTGCTGAAGGTGTCTCTATGAACTTGAAAGTGAAACCCTTATCAGCCTTTCTAAAACATATTAAGCATGATTTCTTACAAAATAAACAGTGTATTGCATGGTTTGCTATTGTAAAGGTATCTGGCATCAGAGGATGGAATGCATACATACCTTGGTGATCTGTGATTGTAAACATAGTGTTATTATAGTTTGCATTTACACACATGATAGGCAGCTCATGGTAAAGGACTTCAGGACCCTGTTTGATGTTAGGTTTTCTGCCAGCAATTTTTTTTACATCTTTCTTGTTCCTATTTTCAGGAAAAAATTTATTGATAATTTAAAATCATCAAATGTGTTATTAAATCTTGTAATAAAATGTACAAACATCCACCTACATCTACCAGATACGGTCTGCCTTCTATTTAAAAGATTCTGACAAGGTGACAGACCAAAGCGGGAGGTCATCAAAATCTCTGTAAAAGTTAGAACTAGATGATTTGAATTGAGAACTAGGTGATTTGAACCTAGTTCAAGACGAACCATTAGTCTCCTCCAGGCTTACCCATATATAACATGGTTTCTGGTCAGAGGGTATGCACATAAGCTTTATATTTTATAAATATATATTTTATAAATACAAAAATACAAATTTGATACATAAACAAGTATTTGACACAGAAGAACAATTAAAAAATGTTATTGTAGATAATTGGTACTGTAAATAAGAATACTCAAAGGTCATCCTCAAGCTAAACCCCTTGTAGGAATTTGAGTGAATTCTTGATGCTCATAAATATTTCTATCTTCAAAAACTTTGTTAGTGATTGTGACTTTTGTGAGCCATGTGGGAACGAAGATCAGACACAATTGAGTCATTATTAATCTAATATTATCCATATTAAAATGCTAATCCATATTGTATTTTTTAAAAACTTTCAAAATTTTGAATGGACGTACGTGGCTTTTGAGGCTAGACTCCTTTCTTGTTTCTTCAAAGGAACTATATTCTTGCTTGTAAACTCCGGTGACTTGTTTATCAGATGCGAAAACGATCGAATGAAGATGTAGCTCATATATCTTGCAATATTACTTTCTAAGGACAAGAAATTATAAAATGCTTAAAGAAACACCTCTTCAATTACACTTTTATTAACTTTATAAATATAATTTTCTCGGCTGAGTTAATATCATCGATACACACAAACTTCATAAACACATATTAATATATGTGAAAGTGGAGGATCTGATTGAATATCCCTCCTCAAACGTCCTATTGTGCCCTCTAACAGCAAAGAAGAAGATTTGATAAAAAATCAACCTTTCTTTGCGCTTCTCTGACAGCAACAATGACTAAGGTTCGACGAGGCTTGAAAAAGAGAAGATAAGTTTCTCATGTGAAACATGGCTCTGGAAGCCATGTTTGAAAATTCTTATAGTAGTAGTTCCTTGTGGTTCAGCCTCATTTCTAAAACGAGTAGACGTAGAGTTTCTTGTCAACAAAAAGTTTTCTCCTTTCTGCGTGAAAAGCATCTTTTAAAACAATTGTATATAATAATTTTATGATAGGCATTTGCTATTGTCAGAAATTTTGGCAAAGTCACTACTTCGTCGAAAATTTGAAATTTGGACACATCAGGGCCAGCACCACAGGGAGGCCCCCGGTGGGTCTTCTCACGCTATCAAGTGTAAGCGCCCGTGTCTGAGGGTCTAGAAAACTGACCCTTATCTCTGTTATATGATGCCAATATGAAAATTCTAATGAAAAACTATACCCTTTTTCCTAAAATCAAGTAGTTGAAATAAGGCCAAACAAAGAAAAATTAGAAGCTATATTAAGACACCCTTTTTTATATTTTCTATGTTCTAGATATATGACAAAATTGAACCCCTTTCTCAGAGATATTGAAGACACGGTGCTTACATTTGATTTAGAGAGAGGACCCGCCGGGGGAAGGCCATGGCCTCCATGCTTTTTCACTAAATAAAAGAATAAAAGCAGCTTAAATTGTTCATATAGATAAGCCTCCAGATAACAGCAAATACATTAAACCAAAAAAGCTATGTAAAACAGCGTCAGCAAAATGTTTGTCACAATTGGGGCTAAAGGGGGTAAAAGGAAACTTTCTTTACATTGCCGGCCCCTCCAGTTTAGGATCAGTGGCGCAGGCCCTGCATGCTCACTAAATTTTGGCAAAGTCACCACTTCGTCAGAATTTTTGAAATTTTGACGTATTCACTACATTTTGGATATTTATGATAACATATACTACATCGAGAAAGTGTTATGCTGTGTCAGCCAACTGCCGATGTTCAATCACAAAGCAAGAAAAAACATGCAAGGAAATTCTTGACAAGTTCTTCCAGGGGTATGTTGCAAGTAAAAAGACATTTGACCAGAATCGAGAAGAAAGTTTCTTCGAGAAATCACAGATTAGATTGTACTGGCAAAGATGCTGTTCTTTTCTATTTACATTTGCAGAAAAATTGCAAAATTTGGGAGATAGGTCTGTATATTACCTATTGCAATCAATGAGATGACAAGAAGAGATGACAAGAACCAAATATATTATGGCCGTGCAGAGTGTATAAGGCAAAATAATTCAACTTCCCGGGCATTTTTTATGTGCTCAGTACATTGATGCCATAATTTTGGCGCTGATGCCATGAGGTTAAGAAGTCATACAAGATTTTTGTGATGATTATATCAATGCCATTTAATTCAAACGCTAGGAGTTCATTTGCAATGGCTACTGCAGCTCTTTAGCTGAGGCAAATAACTTAGCATCCCTTATCAGCGAAAACAATTCTTTTTTCGTTTAGTTTAGCTCTTCCTTGTTTTCTATTTATTAATTTGTATTTGTTAACCTTAACCTTTATCCAGAAAAATTTTGTCTCAATGTTGAAGTTTTTTTCTAATTCAATGTAATTTTATGCATGCAGTATAATAGGGCAAATAACTCGATAGCTCATCTAAGTTCTTTTTATTCGCCCTAAGCTTTGTCGAGTATAAGTATGTTAATCATGTAGCCTGTTAAAATAGCTTGAATTTATCATAATTGAATTGAATTGAAAAATCATTTTACATCTCATTCTAACTATTACATTTGACATGCTCTACCCCTTGAATGTGGCTTTCATGCGGTCATTAAATAAGTGCCCTATCTCAGTTTTTCGGGCACCAAAATCTCCGTTACGCCGCGTTACGCCACTAGCAAAGTGTGTGTTAAAATGTGCCAAGGTTCTACATTACATGATCACACGACATGTTTTCAATACGACACGTAATTACAGCTTAAATGCAGCTTAAGAGCCATTACTTACATAATGCAGATATACTGTATAGATGTGGCAAAGTCAGCTCTACCTTGCCTAGCAAAAATCCCAACAATCTTTTCTAGCCCTTTCTTCACGTATCAATATTTATTTTTTAATTTTTAAATCTAAAATTTACTGCAACACGCATACTCTCAACCCCCAAGCCCTTGCTGGACAGATTGTAACATAGGCGACTCAAATATAAATGTCGCACTTGCTTCATATTACATTTAGCTATCAACTCTATATTATAGTGAAGAATATAGAAATATACTCATATCTTGTAAAAGTTTCACATGCATACATGCACATGGATATTTACCCAAATAGGCTGCGATTAAAAAAGCTCTTTTTCAAAAACCCGGAGCCAAGCTTTTTCTAAAAGATGAGTCTTTTGAATAATTACTAGATTTTATGTTGAAACACGCTTGAAGATAAAAACTGTACAGCCTTGAATAAACTTCAAAGCCTTTTGCCCAAGTATGTTAGGCCCTTTTTTAGCAGCTTTGCTTAATTGATGTCAAATAGTCTCATTACTAAGTCTCAGAAAGAAAGATCAAAACTAATCACAAAGAAAGTTTTCTACAATACTATATCTCCGGAATCATGGGGCTCTGGCACCCAGGGTACTTAGTCATTGCTCACTAATAAAATGCTATTTAGAGTTTTGAAAATAGCATACATAAACAAATGTAAATGTGTTAGGTATCAAAAAAGGGGGAAACTAGTGAAATGTAAAGTGAAGTCAAGAGTATAGCTAGCTAATTGCAAGGGATCATCTGTATGTCTCAGAATGTCACCTAACCTTAACCCTTACCTTCTACAAAACTGCATTGCTGCATCTATTTTCGAGAGCATTAGCTTGAACACAATTTGAAAAATGTTGGGAAGTAATGTTATTACTTGAATGTTACTTTTACTTTATATTACTACCCTGGGTGCTAGATTCTCCTTAATTTAGTCTCAGAGGCATAGTTCAAAAAAGTCACAGACAAGTTCATCTCTTTGCCACCGCAGCGGTCTCCAATACTTCATTCCCGGTTTCTTAAGGCATTGGTACCAAGGGTATTGAATTATTTAATAATTTCATTTACATTGTAGCCCTTTTCTTGGAAAACATACAATGAGATAAACATCGAAAGTCTAGCTCCTAAGAAATATATTAGCTTATCGGGGTTTTGATTTATCAAGGTTCACGCCTAAAACTTGATCCTTGCTTTCAAATATCGCCAAATTTGGGATAAATTGATACCCATTCACGAAATGTAGCAATGGAAATTTGGAATGAGTATATTTTAAATCCTGCATGTAGATCCAAAAAGAAGCGAATTCGAGGTTAAAGTGCAATGGTGAGCAATTAATCAGGATGACGAAGGTTAAGTACAAATTGGATAGCTTTATCGAAACGAAATCTTTATTTGGGAGGCTGCCCATTTGCATTGCCTCCTTTCTGTACTCTGCGCAGTGCTGAGGAGAGGGGGGTCAGGGGGGTCACTGACCCGGGGGCCCTCGGCTTTAGGGGTCCAAAAATAATAACTCAATTGAAAAAAATTTCTAAGTAATAATCCAGCCTCCCCATCAACATTTACATAACATAATATTAGAGACAATAATGAAAAAGATCCATGAAGTCGTTGCCTGCCTCAGTCTTAAATATAATTTTGTTAAGAATTTCTCATCTTTGTTGGCTAGGGCTGAAGAAGTTCAAAAGCTTTTGAATGTTATCAAAAATGTGATTGCAGGGCAACATACAGGGCAATATGTATGTCATACAGATTTGCACTATGGCATTGGTATCTATTTGCAACAGTGTATCGGTTTTGGTTCAATTTAGTTAACGAATTGAACGTTTTTCATTTTCTAGTCTTTAAGAATTTCTAAGAAATTTTCATTTTCATGCATTATGGTGCTAAGATATCAGTTATGCTCAAGTTATCAGGTATCAGATATCAGTTATCAGGTATGGTAAGTATGATATTTGATGCGTACATTGTATTTCGATTGTATTTAAGAAGAGCGAGGTTGAATGAAGCAGTGCGATAGGAAAGGAAACAGAATAAACAGTTGCCTAAAGCATTAAATGTACTTGTGATAAACTACATCTCTTCCATTAAATATCCCTAAATCTTGTGCCAAACCCACTTGTTTTTCATTCTGAGTTATTAAAACGTATCATCTTGTACCTGTTATTTTCTATTTCTTTCTAATTCAGAGGAGGGGTGAGAAACATGGATTTTCCGACAAAAATCTAACAAGCTCAGGGGCGCAGTGGGAGTTAACTTTTTGGGTGGGCAAAGCTGAAAATTTTCCGATAAAACTATGATTTTTCCGACAAATTTTTTCTCAATACATTCCTTGAAGATTAGCCTTGCTGCATATACTGCAACACTTGATACTACAATATCACGAATGGATCTGGAAATCGTTAACGAATGGATCGTTCGTTATACACCTTCAAGTTCAACAATAGCCTTTATTCTAACAAAACTTACCAAATATAAATCGCTATGAACAAAACTGCAACTAGTTATAAGTTTACAACCTACAAGTCTTCTCGCTATACTAGACAATAAACTGTCAAGTCAGTGTTTATAGCTGTTTATAGCAAAAAGTTTTTTGGCAAGTTTTAAATCGCATCATAATTACTTTGCATTTATTTATGCTAAACCTTAAATAGATATAACGCGTCCAAAAGAATAGTTTACTTTTAACTGAATTTATATAAACTGTTACTCAAGCAGCACCTTTCTCAAAAGAGGTGTGGCAGCATACAAATCGATGATGTCACCATAGTCTATCGACTGTAAAATATCAATTTCGATGTTGATTGTTATCAGAGTGGAAAGGCGGTCTTGTCCCATCGTTGACCGTAGCCGATTTTTTTACAATCCTCAGCTTTGAAAAAGCTCTTTCGTAGTTTGTTGAACCTATTGGCAAAGTGACGAGAACCTTGTAAAAAAGGACCAGCTGTGGAAAGGCACTTTGCAGGTTATACTTATCATCAACTGAAGAACTGAATGGAACTGAAAAGTTTTCTCTTTCTCCTGCAGCCGGGAGAGGATTGCTCTTTTCTCTAACTTTCCAAAATTTACGGTAATTATTGGCGAAAGAGCTGTACTCATCTCTTAATTTTTCGTCATCCAGGCCGCAATT